TCAGGTACCTGCGCTCTTTTACAAATTCTTTTTATATATAAAAAAAGGTTTCATACAGTCGTACTATACTTCTTTCACCTTCACACTAATTCTACTTGTCAGATTTTAGTTTTTACACTACAGTCACACTCACATCCTACAAATATTCTCTCCGTCTCTCATTCACTTCTATTAGAGCTCGCTCGTTTGTTCAACTTTGACCATGTGAACGTGCACATTTGGCCAATAGCAACTCTGATGCACTGATTGACTGTGTGTGGCACTGGAGAAGTTAGTATTCTAGCATGTTGCATCACTGTGTTTACTACAACATCACTCCACCAGACTACAGACTGTAATGTTGGTCTAACACGCAGTATGAAATTTGAAAGGACGGCTAATTGGACTGCACAAGTTCAAAATTGCAGTTAAACCAGTTAGTACACGGAAAAACAAAGGATTTGTTCGAGACGGTGTCTTTGCACGCAAAGATGACACACAGTCATTGGGTTATTCGTTAAAGGTCCACGGTGTATCGTGGAATCTAGTGATGTAATTGCAGATCATAACTCTATCGCTTCACCCTCCCTCTCCACACGCGTAGGATACACTCCCTTCCGCGGCGTGGACAAACCAGCAGCTTTCGTCTGCAGATGAGCCAGAGTTGGATCCTGGACGTAAATAAAATCCAATTTTTGAGATTCAAGATGAGCAGTTATTTTCTTGTCAGTAGTCTCATGATTTCTGTCATGGTCAGAAAAAACGATTTCTCTATTATAGAATTTTCTCTCATGTGGAGAGATGAAACTTGAGCCAATTTTTAACTAAGTATTTTCAAAAAGGATTTTCTCTTAATCTGGTACTGTCCTTGCAAAAGCACAAGTGGTCTTTTTAGGCTCTGGAGAAAGGAAGGATGTTAGCATTGTTTCTGGTGCACAGCTACAACTAAAGTACAGAAGTACACATTAAATAGCTACTGTACATGAGAGAGGCTGAAGGTATCAGGTGCTATAGCAGTTATCCTTTTACATCTGCTTTCATCTAACAAACTCCATCTCGCTTCCTGCTTTTAGGGTCAAATGGCCACATCCATGTTCAATGCAATGTTTGTCACATTCATAACTTTTATAAACTACGGCAGTTTTTAACTCTGCTGAACTTTTCACAGCAAGACATTTCCTCCTAACCCAGTGACGATCTGGCACGGAGCTGGAAATAAAAACTCTGCCACACTTTTAAAACTGTATTCCATCCCATTTCATCTTCCCGACCAGCATTCATGCTGTCAGTTACCATAACTTTTCAAACCCTTGGAAAACATGAATATTTCTAAACAAAAATGGAAACTTTTTAACCCGCACAGACATACAGTACACATAAATGTTCTTTTCTTCTTTCTTTTGCTTTTTCTTTGTTTCCAAACATTAAGTATTGTACTTCTAGTGAATTGTACTGTCCTACACTCTCTTCTCTTCCTCTCTTTGCTCTCTTACTGCTGAAGACACACACACACGCACACACAGGGTCGTCTCAGTGTGAAATCTCTCTCTGGTCTCTCTCAGCTCCATTCATGCATGTCCTGCTCCTCCATGCTAAAGCAAGCATGAGGACAGCCTACTGCTGGCTATGACAGCCACACACGCAGTGTAGGCATGTATTGTTCTGACCAACATACACACACACACACACACACATACACACACACATAATTTAAAAGATATATACTGTATGCTACATAACAGCTACAATACATGCAGCTTTTAAAGCTGTCAATTGGTCAACCACTTTGGTCCAGAATAAAATATCTCAATGACTCCTGGATGGATTAGGATTAACTTTTATACAGACATTCATGCCCCCCAGAGGATGAATCCTACGGACTTTAGTGAGTCCCCTGAGTTTTTGTCTTCTAGCACCACAAGGTTTCCTTTTGTGAGTGAAATGTCGCAACAGTCGGATGGAGTGCCATGACATTCAGTATAGGCATTAAAGTCCCCCACAGGATTAATTGTGATATATGTGATATCTTCTGGCTCTTCATATAGCGCCATCATCAGCCCAAAGTTTGTTTAGCACTTAGATTTATGATGAAATACCTGCAAAACGAATGCCTCAGCTGTAGTTCGTGTTTAGTGCTAATAAGCACATTTAACATGCAAGATGTGAAGATGTGTTAGAGTTTAACTCAAAGTGCGAAGCAGAGTTGCTAGCACGGAGGAGACTAGACTAAACTAACACATTTTTAACGGGGAATTGAACTTTCTACACTTTGTTCCATCTCCTGCTGTGAACGGGGTCGTCTGATGGTGAGGGCTGCTGCCTCTGCTTAAAGAAAGTGAGAGAAGAAAAGAGAGTGACATGCAAAAAAACTGCTCATTATACTGCACATCAGGATAATTAAAAATAATAAATGGTAGTTTTGTCATGTACATTTTGGGATTTTTCTTTTTGTATTATGGCTATATATAATTGAATGTCCCCCTTATTTTGAATAGCCAGCTTAATTAGATAAATATATTTTTAATAAACATCTTAAAAGACATTTTAAGTGTCCCATGTGTCACTCTTCAGCTGTCACTATTGATTAAAGGCAAAAAGTAATGAGGCCTACATTTCTATTTCTTACAGACACTTACTAATAAACTTTCTGTAGGTGTCAGATCATCAAATACAATCACTTTTCTAAACTCCAGTATAACTGTAATGAACTTGCAGGTGCCACCTGCTGTAACAGTGCACGCCCACACACACACACACACACACACACACACACACACACACACATACATACAGTATATAAACACAGCAGCAGGAGAGTTAGTGAGCCATGCAGTCAGGACTCTGTGTTTGTGTAAACAGCAGGAGTCTGTAACAACAAGACATCCCAACAATAAGGGCTTCCCATGTCACAGAATGAGAGACTGAGAGAGATCATCACTGTGCCGTATGTGTAAGTCAGTGGAGTGTGACTGCATCGTTTCCTTACATGCTGTGTGTCTGTGTGTACACTGTGTGTACACTGTGTGTGTGTGTGTGTGTGTGTGTGTGTTAAGCGTCCATGTGTTTGTGTTAAATGCAGAGCTCCACTATAAACAATCATTCTTCCTGTAGTAGAATCATGTCATAAACTATTTTAACTGCAACTGTTTTGATAATTGATTAATTATTAAGGTAATATCTAAAGGAAAAACAGCATCCACGACTCCAGCTTCTCCAATGTGAACTTTTTGGTCAAAACAAGCAATAATAAAATGGTGCCCTGGGCTTTAGAAAACTTGTGACCGGCGCTTTACAATTAGTCAATTAATCGTGACAATAATCCGCCAATTATTCGATAATGAAAAACAAATTTTTTGTTGCAGCCCTAACTGAATTACTGTAATTTAGTTATCTGGAAAATTGGATTTGGCTATACATTATAATGTTAGGCAATTAAAATAATCTGTAATGATTAAATTCAAATTTGATATAGAATGTGGTGGTTTTCTTACCTACTTTCCCCCTCGTCATGCCGCTGACTCCTGCGCCAGATAGATGGTAATTAATTTTTAATTTTCATCATTGTACCTATTTACAGTGGTTTGTTAACAAAAGTAAACTAAATATTCAGAAACTGTTCAGGCTGTATAGCTTCGTTTTATACCATTAATTTAGCTGCATTAATGTTATAAAGAAATATGGGATTTTATATTAAACTACCATGTTGATAACAGTTTAAAATACAGCAACATTGAAACCTTTGTTAAGTTAGTATTTATTGCAGGACTAATGTATTAGACTGCATTACACCGTCCGCTTTTGTTCCCTTTTTTTGGTCTTTGATCATGTGTATATATGTATCAGTGTTTGGTGTGTTACCTTCCACATTCTCAGCTGGAGGGTGAGACTGAAGTCTCCTGGAGTGAGAGGACAGCTCGCAGCAGGGAGGCGCTCTGCAGGGCTCTGTTACATGTCATACTGTGTGTGTGTGTGTGTGTGTGAAGACTAACACACAACTGATGTGTTTGTGTTTCTATACATACAGTATATAAGTGGTCTCTTTCCTCAGGGTATTCGACAGTGTTGCGGTTTTTCTTTTCAAAAAAGTCTGAAAGGTGGAGTAGACTGTTGGATTTTTACTAACAGAGATAAAAGAACACGAAACACAGTGCATCCGCACACAGAGATGGCCGCGAACACCATGAGTGGTCTTTGTTTTCTTGCTTTAACTCTGAGGTTAACTGAGGTATCTTTCACCAAGCACACATGGGTCTTGAATCTGACAGCCTTACACCCTCAAACTTGAACTAGAATACTAAACAACCTTTAGAAGAAGAATTATCATGCATCCCAGGCATTTAGGTTTTATCTGGGTAGAGCAGAAGTGTAAATGTGTGAAGATGAACTACTGCTGTGTATCACCAAACCTCATCAGGAGGAGAGTCACATTTAGCCAATTACACCTTTTCTGCAACCATGAACTGGCTTACAACCTTTAAAAGCCTTTGAGGATTACTTCAGATGGATGATGTCCTGTAATAATATTTTTCAATCAGACTTTAAGTTGTCAGTCACAAGCTCTTCATGTACTTGTGTTTCAGGAGATGAAGAGTACATTCTAGAGGGCTATAACACAATCAAACACAATCAATGAGTGTATCTTTCATGTGTGGAAACGTCTTCAGGCCAATGTAGTCTTTTCTCTGCTGTTTTTCTTATTCTTCCATCTTTATTTCCTCCCTCTGCCTTATAAACTGTGTACATCCAAATGTCAAACACATTTTTACAGTCTTGTAAAGCTTTCTGTAAAGAAAATAAAACTATTTCCTAAAATGTCAACAAATATTCTGAAAAACTTCAATAACTGATTAGTATGGCTTTTTTTCCCCACTATATCTATACGTCTTGAATGTTTTTTGTATGCTACTTTCTCACTCAAAACCACCTGAAAGGAAGAAGTTCCCCAGGCTCAGTGACACTTTCCATCTAAATCAAGCTTAAATTGAATAAATCAACTAAATCCCTTCTGTGTCTCCCTGCAGAGAAAACCCAGAAGGGAGAAAAGAGGAAGCAGAATGGAGTGAAGGAGAAAGGGAAGGAGAGGAGGAAGAGTAGTCCTGAGAAGAAAAAGGAGAGATTGAAGTCAGAGAACGGCTCCCTGCTAAAAGAGCTAGGTACATTGTATGTTTGTGTGTGTGTGTGTGTGTGTGTGCGTGCGTGGGTGGGTGTACGCCCTGCAGTGTTTGCAAACTGATCAAATGCACCTCATTGGCTGAACGTATGCCACATATGTGTGTGTGTGTTTGTGTGTCCATATGAAAGATCCTGCTGACAAAAAGCTTGCAGCACATTTGTACACTTGATGCACCAATAATTTATTTGCAGCAGCCTTTTGCTTTACAAAAGGGCAAAATGCAATAACAACACAAGCAAGACATTATAAAGGTTGAAAATCTCTAATATTGTTTCTGTTTCAGCTGATAAAGACTTTACCTGTGGAAACTCTTCAATAAATTATTGATGCATCAAGAGTGCTGCAACCTTTGACAAAAAACTGTTATAATCTGCTATGGTCAGCATGTGGTCCATGCTTGGCGTGTTACCTTTTCCTTTTTTTCACAGATTTCATGCCTCCATCATCAGTGTTGTCATACCTTTTCTGTGTGTTCCTCTGTGTAGATCAAGTGTCAGATGCAACGATAAAATCTTTAATAGGAGTTGACTGCAGCTTAGCCCAGCAGGTCTGATCTGATGCATCAATCTGGCAGTGTAACATCACTCAGAGACAGAGAGGCAAACAAAGTGAGAGAGAGAGAGATGAAGCAAGACTGGATATTATAAAAATGTCATCCTGTAAATTATGCAGACCTCCTCTCAGCTCTCATGTAATAACTAAATCACCTTGCTTTAGCCTGTAGGACTGCCGAACGTCCATCTGAGAGGTACAGCACGAGTTAGAATCATCCTGGGAACTGAGCTGTAGTCCAATAGTTGAGAGACTAACCTCTAAACCATCCTATAAAGAGTAAGATTAAAAAACGGGCATTATTCATTCAAAATTACCAAAGATACAGGGATGAGCAAGTCATTTATGTAAATGTCTTTATTTTAGTTTTAAACTTATTTTTTTTTTTTTAAGTAAATGATCAATCTAAAAGAAAAACAATCATCCGGGGCTTCCCTGATTTCAAAAACCTTTCAACAGTGCAGTAGAGCAGGTGATGAGGCTCATTGGTACTGTAGTATTGCATGCTTTAGTGTTTGTGTTGCCTGTGGAGATTGTTAAAGGTGAAGACAACATGAAGAATGTTGAAAAGAGGCTCAGTCATCTAATTTTCAGTAACACATCTTGCAAATCCATTTCCACTACAAAGCTTCTGCTCACAGTAATCCATGCTCTCTATGAAAGACCGATGGACCCAGCAGAGAATAATGTACACAGTTACTATGGGGAATATACAGAAAGCACAATACTGCCTGCACACGTACAATACACCTGTCTGGTCTTGTGGTGGTATCAATTGGAGAAATCTGACTATGATATGGTATTTTTTGTAAAGTAAAGTTGCAAAATACATCTTTGCCCTGTGTTTTGTCAAAATGGAAACAATTTGATCACTAATCCAAACTTTTATGTGGGTAAAAGGGAGTGAAAGTTGGGGATAAGAGGACGAGAAAACAGGCATAGACATGATGGTAAAACTGAAAAAAGAGAGAGAGAAGCTCTGTCAGCGTCAATCTTTGTCATTAATGAGCGACTGGGAGAGAGATGCCGTTAGAATAAGGGAGAGAGGGCCTGTCACTGCCAATCCTCATCATTAGTGAGATGTGGATGGATGATAATGGTTGTCTGTCCTGCTAGAAGGTGATCCATTCCCCCACCACCCGTCATTACAGCTACGTATGATTCTCAGAAGACAGATATTAAATGGAAATTGAGCACGCCGATTATATGTATGTAGATATGTGTTCGTAACATTGACAATTTACAGGCATTTAGCTGACACTCGTATCCACTGCGACTTGAAGTGAGCGAGCAGATAAAGACTCAGTGTCTCGCTCGAGGACACAAGATAGACTGTTGATGGAGACACACTGGCGGCTGTGGTGATTGAATCTGTAGCTTTTAAGTTGTCAAGACAAGCCACCTGCCTGACTGTTGGGGTGCAAATTAACATTTCAATGCTCAGACATCCTCATAGAAGTCAAACAGATACTGTACTCTGAAGCAGTTTGTCCATCACTAAGCAGTGAGAGAGGGTTATTTTTTACTTTCCACACTGAACAGAAGTGACATGTTTGGCCTGGAGACGACTATTTTTTGTGGCTGAGAGCTCGAGTTTCTCAGGAAATAATCCAGGTCCATGTTAGCGAGGGTGGAAATGTGTTGACTGATGTGTCAAATCATGGATCCAGATGCCAAGGCGTCTCTATTCAGAAACATGGGAGTTTTAGATTTTAAATTGAATATCCATCCCCCCCTGTTCATGTCCATCTGTCTACCTCTATATCTGTATTCATTGTGGTAGACAGGCTTGTTTTGAAATTTGGCTCTCTTGGATGTGTCGGTAGCTCACGTAATGTCATATTTCCTGACATCCTAAAAACATCCTCAGTTTATTTTTTTCAGATACAGCTGCTTCATGGGGCAGTAGAGCTGTGACAGTTTGATGAGATTTGGTGCTGTCGGTCGTGGCAGCACCAGTGCACGCTGTCAGAATCAAACCGAGTGTTTCCTCTCTTTAAGGTTATAGCTTTCATGCTTTTATTTTGGAAAGGTTTCCCTCCTAAATTACATAACCACTCGAAGCATAAAGTATTGTTATTCATTACCTGTTTAGACACAGCTTCCTCCTACTTCCTTTATTATAAATTACACTTACATCTGCTTACAACTACATTATAGTGTGTTATAATCCAGTTTATTATGTTTAGATACTCCTTATAAATGCTAAATAAGGGTACTTAAAGTTTATGACGGAAAAACCTACCAAGTAATGTTATTCAAGTTTTTATTGTATAAGGAAATAAATAATTAACATGCAAACAATAAAGAGGAAAAAAGACTCAATTGGTGATATACTCTATGTTTGTGTGGGTGAATAAAATGGAAAACAAAGTCCTCCATATCTTCAGGCTTCCTCTAAAAAAAAAAAATCTCCTCCGCTGTGAATAGCTTCTATATGTAGGACATCAAGTGGGTGGATTTGTAGCCTTGCATAATCCTTGTTTATATGTACCCAGATCTAATAAGTTAGGAATATTTCTGCAATGACATTCTGTAAAAAGCTTTGGCTACACAGACAATTACTGTAAATGATTAATATCTGAGAGCCTAAATGAATGACTGTGTTCTTTAATATCATTTATCCTCTTTTTCATGTACGCAAGTGAATGATGGATAATTATGTTTTTTTTTTTCACATGTAAAGATCCTAAAAGAGAGGTGAGAGGTGAAGTCCTGCAGCTTAATGAAGTGTGAATAGAAGGAATACATCAACATAAAATACATTTGTATTCAAATACATTTACAGGACATATTGGCACACTGATAGCAGTTCTACAGCAACATGTAAAATGTGAGGAGCTCTGGTCCTTCCTGTGATCTCAGAAAACGAACATGACAGAACGTTGCTCAAAGCTAGAAAAACCACCCAACAAAGACTTCATGCTGTCATCAAAGGATGAAACCTGAAGCTGCTCTGTCGATAAAGAAATGGGCTTCTGCCTTTGTGGGATTATAGCGTTTTGGTAGGAATTATATACAGCCAAGCTTAACCTTACTCTATTGTTAACATTTCTGTAACATAAAATCCAGCCACACGTCCGCAAAGGTTCAGTTTCCACTTGTAGGAGTTTGGAGTTTTGGCTTTGGGTGTCAGCTGCAGAGTTTTGGGAAATAGGCTTGTAAGTGGAAGGACTGTTAGTTTAAGTCTCCTGCATTGATGGGAAGTTGTTTAACGTTACTGTTAGACCTGTATATTGATTTTATTCTGCAGTTTCAGAAAACTTAAAATAACTTTCCCCAAAAGGCAGTTCCACTTTTGAGCAACATACAGTTATTTTTTGTAATTTTAGCCACCCTTTGTATTGGCTGTTAGGGGTTGGAATTGTTGGGAGTCTGATAATTTGATTCTACTTACATTTTTGGTGTCACAATTCAATGCAGAATTGATTCAGATGAAGGGTTCTATTTTCAGGTTTTTAGTCAAGCCATTTACTTTGTGTATTTAGTCCACTCATATGCAATATAGTTTTATGTTCCCAAGGAAGTAAATGTTAACTTTAAATATTTATAATACATCAGTGTCAGTCATTAAACATCGGATTTGGTCAAACTCTAGTGCATATACACAGTATAATATGCAGCATTTATACAATGTCCATTATATGTGTATTAGTATACAATCAAGATACAAACCGGCAGAGATGTTTTGAGCTCTTCACCCACACACAGTGACTATCAGCAATGACGCAGGACTTTCTCTCATTTCCTTATTTAACCAGAGCTGAGGGTCGCCAAGCCAACAGTATTTTCCTGTCAAAGTGAATTTGATCAATAAACAGAGGGATGATAACACAGGACAGGAGAGTAGTTTGCCTCACTTGCTTCCTGTTCTGATATTATCTTCCTCTCTTTTTCTATTCATCTTTTTTAGTTTTCCTCTGTTTTTCACTGTGAATCTGTCTCTTTTTTTTCCCCCTCTCTTATACTGGCTCTGTGTTATAACACTACCTCTTTCTGTTTATCTTCACGTCATCTCTCTTCCTCTCTTTCCCTGACTCGGTCTCTCCATCTGACTGATGAGGGATAAGGACTGCAACCTGATGTTGAATAGATGCTGGGAAATCATCCCTCAGATGGTGTTTCCATGACAAACAAGCCCTTCTGTGTATGTGGTGTACTCTTGTTGTGTGCAATCGTATCATCTGTCTGCATTTGTGTGTGCGTGCATGCATGCTTTCCTTTGCCAGTGTTATATATATATATATATATATATATATATATATCGTTCCTGTCTCAGTGTGTCATCTGTGTGTTTGTTTTTGCATGCCGTATGTGTTCATATCTCACAGTCTCAGTGTGTGTGTTTGTGTGTCAGGCCATCTGTTCTCTGTCGGGTCTGGTCCTGACTCCCAGGGCTTTGTCTTCCTCTTAGTGTTCTGGGATCAA